GTATAAGAAGCGGATTGGTTGCTGGAGATCACGCCACGGGAGGAGGCGAGGGAGAGCAGGCTCTTGTGCACGCCCCTTATGGGCGCAGCAGGATGTTTACTGTTAAGAAGGTCCGGATACCGGCGCCATCTTGTAATGGCGGCGGAGGCTGTGGCTCTCCACAGATTATAGCATCAAAACTAATCTTGTTAATACCATGATCTTTGTATGAAAAGTTAGCTTTTGTGTATATGTGGTATTTTGCTTAGTTGTATATCAAAAATCTTGAGTTGAGGAACATACTATTCTAAGCCTTTGATCATTTTTGTGAATCATACTTATTTTTTCCTGTTTATGGCATGGATTTTAGAATGAATTTCCTAAAGAAGAATGAATTACATTTGGACAGTTAAATGCCATAAAGTGTACCCTCTAAGATGGAGAACAGGTGAAGGTGTCTGTTCTTGTCATCTTATCCATACTCCTAAGGGTTAAAGTTCTGGCTAGTGCCATAAGGCAAGAAAAAGAAATAGCCAATACAAATTGCAAAGAAGTATTTGCAGATGGCTTGTCTTCATAGAAAATCTCAAAGCACCTTAAAGATGACTAGAACTAATGAATTCAAGATCATGATAAACACACCAAAAAACTGTATTTCTACATACTAACAATAAGCATGTAGAAATAAAATTTAAAAGACAAAAATGAACCATAGCCTAAACTTCACATCTTTTTCACAAATTCAAAATGGATCATGAACACGAAAATAAACAAAACTATAAAAACTTACAGAAAATTCAGTGAAAAATGCTTTGAATCTAGAGTAGACAGACTTGGCACCACAAAAGAAAAAAAAACCAAGAAGTTGGACAGTAGAGCATTAAACACTTTTTTTTAGAAGAAGCATTTCATTACAGCTTTAACATGCTTAATAACAATTTCCAGAGCAAGGATAGATCTCTTTCAAAAGTGGCTATAAAAGTTTTAGGTTCGCAGTTGAATTAATTTAGTTATATAATATTGAACTCAGTATAAACCCTACAAGACATAAAATTGAATTGAGTTTTTAACCTTTAGAAAGATCTCCATTTCATTTTAAAATATACTGTTTCTTACAGAAAGACTCATTGCTTTTGCTAATAACACTTAGATGTTGGCACATGCATCTCTAATCTGTATATATCCGATTATTACTAGTCATGGTCGGTTGCACTCGGATCCTTGGCACCTGTGTATGTCTATAAAGTCATCAGGTGTTAAACACTTTTGTTCTGTGAAAATCCATGTGCAATGGACCCATTTTTCTTATCTTCCAAATTTGTATGTTGAAATCCTGACCCCCAATATGATGTTATTAGGGGGCCAGGGCTCTGGGAGGTCATGAGGTGGTGACAGGGCGGTTCTTGTGGCTAAGTGTCCTTGCTGGAGAACTCTAGAGAGCTTCCTGCCCTATTCCCATGAAGTGAAGCTGACCCTCACTAGATCCAGTGTCTGCGTCTATGTTCCGGGCCTCCAAAACTGCAAAACAAATGTGGTGTTGCTCCAGTTACCCAGCTGGTTTTATTGTATCAGCCAAAACTCAGATACCAAGTAAAGTAAATGGAAAAAAAACAAGTCACAGTTCCAGGAAAGAATATTTGCGTATTACATACTTGACAAAGAACTGTTACAAAGAACTCTTGAAATCCAAGAGTAAACGAGCAAACAAGCCAACGAGAAAGTGAGCAAAACTGTGAATAGACATTTTACTAAAGAAGATACACAAATTTCAAATAAGCATATGAAAGAAATTGTTCACCTCCCTTAAACATCAGAGAAATGTGAATTAGATCTATAATGGTTATCCACACATACCTATCAGAACAGCTAAAATAGACGCAATACCAAATGTTTGTAATGATGCAGAGAAGCTGGATCACTCCTGCCTTCCTGGTGGGAGTGTAAAATGGTTCAGATGTCCTGGAAAGCAGAATAACAGTTCCTTACCAAACTATCTAATTACTATACCAGCAATTGTTGTCTTGGACGATTATCTCAGAGAAATAAAAACTTATGTGCACACAAGCACCTGTACACAAATATTCATAGCAGCTTTATTTGTAATAGCCCCAAACTTGAAACAACCTAGATACTCCTCAATCATCATAGTTAAATAAATTGTGGTATATCTATATCATGGAATACTACTCACCAGTTCAAAGGAATGAACTGTTAATACACATAACAGCCTAAACAGATCTTAAGACAATCCTGCTGAATTAAAAGTTATTTGCATAAGGTCACATATTGTGTGATTCCATTTATGTAATAATCTTGAAATGAAACAAATATTGAGGAACCAGCTAGCGGTTAGCATAAGTTATTTTGAGTTGGAATCAGGAGGAGGAAGGTGGATTTGTCTGCAAGGAGCAGCATGGCAGTCTCCATGGTGATGGTTTTCTGTATCTTGCCTATGTCATCAGTATCCTGGCTGTGATTGCAAGAGGCTGACACCAGTACACAGTGTCTTTCTTATTATTTCTGACAATTACACATGAATCTACAATTACCTTAATATAGAAAATGTCATTTAAAATTAGGCTTGACATTTTATTAAATACTTGTCAGAGTATTGAGTTCTACATTGTGATTGATAAAAAATTACTCACAAGAACATCCCAAGATTTTCTATACTATTTTTCTAACTACCTAGCAATTATCAATATTATGAAAGACATATTTTAGTATTAACAATTTGATCAGCACAGTAAATATATAAACAATTTTGAGTATTTTAAAGTCTAGTTTTAATTATGAATAAAAAGAACCATACACACACAAAACCAAATGTCTGTGATTCAAATGACAGATGCCCACTGCTGTGCTGTACACAACTGACTATGTGCTCTGGACTCTGTCCAGTGATCAAAACGAGCTGAATTTCTTCCTCTTCTCTCTCGCAGGATCTCCTCTTCAGCGTGTGTGCCCTCAACGTCCTTTCCACCATCGTGTGTGCGTTGGCCACGGCCATGTGCTGCATGCAGATGGTCTCTGCTGATGTCCTGCAGATGGTGAGTGACCCTACTGATGCTCAAGGCCTCTCAGAGTAGTCACCTGCTCCCTCTTCCACTAGCCAGACTGAGTCCAGTGTAGAATTGCCTGCTTCTGGTTAGAGGTCAGAAGTGGAGAGAGAACAGTGGACCCTGTCAGGTAACATTGCCAGGAGGCCTTTGGATTCATCTTGTGTTGCTCTCTAGCAGAGGGAGAGTCTGCAGATTTGGTGCTATTGACTTAGTTTGGGTGGCAGCAAAGTTCCATGTTTATAATATAGTCCTGCCCCAGCAGAGCCCCTGGCATGTGTCCTTGAGTAAGTGCAGGGGAAGTCCTGCAGTTTAGACGTCCTCTAGACCCAGAACTTTCAGAGTAAGGCATTGTCCTTATTCATTGGGATTCTCTTTAATGAAGATGTTTGAGGGTGTTAGAAAGTGGTTTCTCAAATTGAAAAAATGCTGCTCTTTGCTTTTGAAATTTGCTAATTGACCCTGAGCTCATGATCCAGTGGCAGGCCACTGGCTATCATGTGGTGTTGTGGCTAGAGTTTTAAAAGAACTGATGTTCACACAGCAGTGAAGCCACAGCAGGGATCATGCACTTATTAATAAAATCTCTAAGTACACACGTCATAAATCATGAGGGCTCTTCTTTCAGTGTGAATGGAACATAGCCTCTGGTTCAGTATGTTGTTATTAAATTCACAATAAAGACAAGTTGATACTACACGATGCTAAGGATAGAAGCCACTCCTGTGCCCGCTTACCCTTCCTCTTACCCACTCCATGCCTCTCTGTCTGCCTTAGTCTGTTTTCTATTACTGTAACAGAACATCCAAGATTAGGTAATTTGTAAAGAAAGCAGGTTTACTTACCACAGAGTTCTGGAGTCTGGAGAGTCCAGGATTGCAGTGGCATATGGTTGGCTTCTGGTAAGGACCTCATGCCAAAATGTGGAAAGCAAGTAGGTGCATGTGGAAGAGATGGGGCATAAGACCTAACCTTGATTTGTTTATTAAATTTTTTTAAAATTTTATGTGTGTGAATGTATTACTTGCATGTAGGTAGGTGTACCCATGTGGTGCAGTGCCCACAGAGGTCAGAAGAGAGCATCGGATCCCCTAGAAATGGAGTTATGGACAGTTGTTAGCCACCATGTGGGTGCTGGGAATCAAACCTGGGTCCTCTGCAAGAGCAGTTAGTGCTCTTAACCACTAAACCATGTCTCCAGCCCCACTAACCTTGCTTTTTAACAGCCCCAACACCCCATTGGTAACTAAACCTGTCACATACGGTGAGAACTGACTCCTTCTAGATGGTGGCAATCCATTTGACACCCTGTAACCCAAGTACCTCCCACTAGGCCTACCTTCCAATGCTACTGTTTTGGTTCTAGACAAACCACATTCAAACCGTGGTACTGACTCTGTGTATGTATGCCCACATGTGCCTGTGTGTGTGCTTGCGTGTGTGCGTGCGTGCGTGCGTGCGTGCGTGTGTGTGTGTGTGTGTGTGTGTGTGATTATCTCTTCGCTTGCTGTGCGAGGGCCACTGTGCCTTCTACTCAGTGTTTTATGCATTTCATGAAAGAAAAGACAAGTTGTTACTGTAGTAGTCTTTTTCATTTAAATATTCTTCCTCATCCACCCCATGGCAGTGCATCAGTAAATCAAGCTAAAAGGCCAGAGAGCATCGTTACCAAGATATTAAAAATCCATTGGTCCTAATTGTATGTCACGTATAGCCTCCTGTTCATGGCATATATCCATGCAGCTGTCATAGCGGGCTGACCTTTCTGAGAGGGCACAGTATTCTGAAAGGTGTCTAATTAAGCAGTTATTCAGCAGGATGAACTTTTGGCCTCATGCATGAAGGCCTTGTGTTGGCAATTTTCTCCAGCATGTTGTATAAAGAAAAGGTTAAGTACCAGAGGATTCTACTCACCTCAGCAGATTTTACTATTGATCTGTAAATATCACACCAATTTGGCGAAACTAACAGAACTAAAGGCTGTAAATGCTAACAGTTTACACTCCCCTACTTCTAAGCAGTAACATTAAAATTGCCAACTAAATAACAAGGTACATTCTAGCTGTGGAAGCATATAGAATTATACCAGAAGTGTGCTTAGTCATTATATAGTGGCTTTGTGTGGATCAAGAGTAGGCCTGGGGTCAGGTGTCAGGTGTCTGCATCTGAGCCTCATTGCTTCTGATGTAAGTGACTCAGTGTCACAAAACCCACCTGTCTTCTCACCTATGAAATGGGCCTTCTGATCTCTGCTGAATTTTATTTGTTCGCAGTGCTGGGGATTGAGTCCTGAGCAGGGTAGGCAACAGCTCTATGGCTGAGCTATACCTTCAGCCTTTACTTTAGTGTGGTGGGAATAGCAGTCCTTGTTTTGGGATATTAGTCATTTCTCTGACCTAGAATGAGATTGGAAGTATTCCCTCTCTTCTGCTGTTTAGGAAAATTTCCAAAGGCTTGCTGTTAATTCTTTCAGGGTTTCATAGAGTTCACCAGTGAAGCTATCCAACTCTGGATTTTTCTTTGTGGGTCATTTTTTATTTTTTGATTACTAAATTCAGTCTCTTAATTTGTTAGTTTCTATTTCTTCTTAACTCTGTTGTGGTAACTGTCTTTCTAGAAATTTTTCCATGAACTTTGGAATTAAGTGAAAAATAATATGCATAAATTGTGTATGTAATTAGTGTGTGCGCGCGCGCGCGCGTGTGTGTGTGTGTGTGTGTGTGTGTATTCAAAGGAGGAAGGGGAGAGAGAGAGGGAGAGACTCCTTTTAATTTGTGTGTGTGTGTGCGTGTGTGTAATTTTTATTTTTTGTTTGCTCATTTCCCAATCAACTACTGGTTTTGGAAAGGAAGGCATCTCTTGGCAACCTAGTGCATGTGTTCTGGGGTTTTTGCAAGCACGTCTTTTGTCTCTTCTCCCTGCTTTGTGCTGTAGTCCCTTTACTCCTCTCCTCATACCATGGCACATGTCCCGGCTCTCCTTGGGTGATTTAATTTTTAGTTCATTCTTCAGGCTTCTCCCCAAAGTCTGCCCTATTTAAAAAATACTTTTATTTTTTATTTTTATTTTATGTGTATTAGTGTTTTGCCTGCATGACAGTAAGTGCACCACAAGTGTACAGTGCCTACGGAGGCCAGAAGAGGGTGTTGGATCCCCTGGAACTGGAATTACAGATGGTTGTTAGCTGCCATATGGGTGCTGGAACCCAAATTTGGGTCCTCTGGAAGAATAGCAAGTGTTCTTAGCCACTGAGCCATGTCTCCAGCTCCTGCCCTTCCTATTTTGATCATCTTTAGTCTTCAGATTATTCATGACCATCACATTTCCATTGTTCCCTCTACATTGAGCTCTACTTGACATGTGCTGCTCACCACAATCTTGTTGTTGTTTATCTTCTCCTATTTTAATATTTTAATTCAAGCTGTATTTTCACTTTTTGAACTCAGTTGTGACATGTTACTAGCTAATCATTCTGATGTTGTTTTTATCTGAGACTGTCAGAGTGAGAGGCACTGTTTAATTATTATTGTGTCTGTGGTACCGTAGACTGAACCCAGGGTCTTTTGCATGCTAAACAAGGGTCTTCATACTAGTTACAGTCCCAGTTTCCCTGAGAGACACTAATTCATGATGAGAACACTATTGAAGGCAGGACACTTGAGCATGTGTGGAACACCTCCTACGGCCTGTTCCTGACAGGCCAACACCATCCTGTGGGGGCATTCATGATTCATGGCCCCAGCTCTTTACTGCCTTTCTCTTCCTGAGCAGCTCTGCACACCAGGATGCTGGGCTGGGAGAGTGAAATCCAGCCCTAGTGCCATGCTTTGGCCCTGTCCTTGTTCTCTGACCTGGTGTCAAAGGATAGCCAGAGCCTGTACCACCCATGAGTGAAGTCATGCCACCACCTAACAGTCTTCATTCTGCCTGTGAGAACTGGAAGGAAAGACCCCAGCCATGATTTCTACTGTGGCTCATATGCTAACAGTACTTCAGGCAAACAAAACAGTAGCTATAACAGCCTTTAAGGAGAGTCCTTCATTAGTGTCATGGACTGATACATTCATTCACTTGTTTGCTCTTTTTGTTGTTTGTTTTTAACCCTTTTGTGTGGAAATCTTTTATTGAATTTTGTGTATTTCCTACAGAACATCTTAATCATCCTTATACCCCATTCCCCACTGACCCCCCTCCCCCATAGTCTCTCCAACTGGAATTTATGCATTCTGTCATTTGTGGTAAGGCCTATCATGTCATGTTAGTGTCCCCAGATGTTCCTCAGTACAAGTTCATCCACTGAGGTCTAGTCAGCCTATCTAGAGTCCCTTCCTTTAAGAAGATCAGCTCTTCTTCACCCAGCAGCAATCAGCTCAGTAGCTCTTCAGCTAAGATTGGGGCCTGCTGCCCATTTCCACAGTTCTGAGCTGGGTTTTTGTCTCCTTGAGTTTGCATGGATCTTTTGTATGCCGACACCATTTCTGTAGGTTTGTTTGCTCTCTCATTTGTGGCCACCTCCATTGATCCGATGAGTCATCAGGCAGCTCTGTAGTTTCCTTCTGGATACAGACAACTCAAGGTCGTACTTGACCCCAGAAGCTCAGCAGTGCTCTCAGGATGTTAGCAACCCCGAGTCCCAGTCCTCCAAAAAACCCACAACTTCTTTATAATTTGAATGCATCAGCACTGGGGGATAATTAGGTGAGCTGGAACTAACAAAATGAACTCAGGAAATTCAAGTGTTAAACCTATTGTCAGAACTGCTACACCTGAGTTACTCTAATGTGTGGAAATAGTAACCATATGATGGTACATTCTGTTTATTGACAAAGCTCAGTGGAGACTTTTTTTTTTCCCTAAATGTCTGTAGTGTCATTTTTAGTTTAGTTTTTAAATGTAACCTCATTTTCCCAGTTTCTGCCACATCATTTTCCTCCCCATGTCCCTCATTGCCACTTTAGCCTCGGGAACATCCTGGGCTGTTACACGCATTT